CTCCTCCTCCACCACCTCCTCTACCACCACCACCTCCTCCTCCACCACCACCACCGCCTCCTCCTCCTGACGTTTTGCCCACATCAATGACAGGCTCCTTCACAGGTTCTGAGGTCTGTTAGAAACTAGACAAGTGGGGTTTATATATCTGTGGAATAATGTCCAGGGTGGGAGAAAGAACCCGTGTCTGTTTGAGACAAGTAAATAGCCTAGCAGCTTCGAAGAGCACTTGATGAATCAACCTGGACACAACGTATTATTTGAGAACACAGAAATGCTCGAGGCAAGTGTGAATGTTGCCATTGGTCACCTTGGTTAGCATTGAATGGCCTTGCAGCTTCAAAGCCTGGCTGTTTCCTGCCTGGGGGAATCCTTTGTTGGAAAGTGTTGGCAGGCCCTGATTGTTTCCTGACTTGAATTCCATTTTCTAAGTGTTTTTCTTTATTTACTGTCCTGATTCTAGAGTTTTCAAAATACTGGTAGCCAGATTTTGTTCATTTTCAAGATTTCATCCTTTCTGTTGACATTGTCCACATGCTTGTGGATTTATATGGTTTCTCTCTGTAGTCTGACATGGTGGTTGTTGGAGTGGTCCAGCACATTCACATGGAGCAATAAAAAGATCAATTTTAGAATAGTAGAAGCACAAAGTGCAAAATGAAGAGACAGAAGCATCACTTTCTTCATACTGAAAATATATCTTTTTAGGGGCATGAAATGAGCTGCAAAGCTTCAAAGAGCACTCAAACAGACAAGAGTTCTTTCTCCCACCTTGGACATTCCACAGATATTCCACAACCTCTGAGGATGCCTGCCATAGATGTTGGTGAAACGTCAGGAGAGAATGCTTCTTATTTTTGTCGTGTCAGATTAACCAGTCAATTATATTACATTTCTAACAGAACAAAGCAAACAAACAGATAAAATACAACATTTGTGAGTTTGGTAGTTGGTTAAATGTCCTTTGACCAGTATCTGGCCACTTGGAGTGCTTCCGGTGTTGCTGCAAGAAGGTCCTCCATTGTGCATGTGGCAGGGCTCAGGCTGCATTGCAGCAGGTGGTCAGTGGTTTGCTCCTCTCTGCATTCGCATGTCGTGGACTCCACTTGGTGGCCCCATTTCTTGAGGTTGGCTCTGCATCTCGTGGTGCCAGAGCGCAGTCTGTTCAGCGCCTTCCAAGTCGCCCAGTCTTCTGTGTGCCCAGGGGGGAGTCTCTCATTTGGTATCAGCCATTGGTTGAGGTTCTGGGTTTGAGCCTGCCACTTTTGGACTCTCGCTTGCTGAGGTGTTCCAGCGAGTGTCTCTGTAGATCTTAGAAAACTATTTCTAGATTTAAGTCGTTGACGTGCTGGCTGATACCCAAACAGGGGATGAGCTGGAGATGTCACTGCCTTGGTCCTTTCACTATTGGCTGCTACTTCCCGGCGGATGTCAGGTGGTGCAATACCGGCTAAGCAGTGTAATTTCTCCAGTGGTGTAGGGCGCCTCATTAAGAATGCTTCTGGAACATAGCCATACAGCTATTAATCCGTTGCTGGAAAACTCACAGCAACCCAGTTTGAAGTCTACTCTGTGTATTGATCGGAAACAACATTTTTACAAGATGGATAAATTATGTACCTGCTGTTGGCCAGGTATCCATTTCCTAATGCTATTTATGAGAAATACAGTGACACCTTGACCCAAGAGTTTGCAGTGTCTCAAGTCGCTCCTGACATGACAAAAAAAAAAAGAAGCACTACATGCATATTTCTTACTTTTGGGACCTCATCCCATAAAGAAGTGGTTTTGGGAGTAGTTGAAACCCCACAATTCTTTTAAGTTGGGCAATTACAGGTATGTGTGACTAGTTTGATCCAGATCCATCAAGCCATGTAGAAGTGTTTGTGGTACAAGCAAACATACATACCTGCAGTGCTCAAAGGTGTATCTAGCACTCAGATGAAGCCACAAGAGGGCAGTATATCCATAGAAAGGATTAGGAATTGTGACTTGAAGACAAAGTCACAATTTCTAAAAGAGCCACACTAGGAGGCCAGAAAAGCATAGTCCTGAAGGCCACAATTGGAAGAAAGCAATATGATGGCGGTTTATCATTGGTGGAAGTTGGTGTGGACCTTGCTCTGAGTTGGAGAAACTATGACTCCCTAGAAAAGGCCTGACCTGATGTTTAATTTCGTATTGTATGCCTATCTATATCCATAACTGGTATGCAGCCATCCACCAAACCTACTGTCAGATGGAACCCAAAGACCTGCTTCAGAGGAGCTGCTCATTCCACAAGCAATGCAGATGGAGGGTCTCTTCCCTTCTTCTGGCTCAAGGATGGATCGAGAACCCAAGGGCTTCCCACGAAAGGTGCATCCAGTCCCTGTCCCTACCTTCTGACTTGAGTCCTGAGAGGCGCCTTTGTCCTCATCTGGAAAGGTCCTATTCCTCCTTGGACGCCTCTCTGGACCTCCTCCGCCATCCTTCGCTCTCCGCTGAGAGGATCTCAAGGTCATCCTATGTGGCCTGTGAGAAGGAGACCTCTTCCGGTCATGATCTGAAAGAAGGACAAGGGAACAAGAGCTGGTGGTGAGTGCCTGGCAGTGCCTGGGGCAATCTTTTGTTGAGAGGTGACTAGATGTCCTTGTTTGTTTTCTCTCTGTTGTTTTGCTGTTTGCCAGGTCATCAAATGCTAATCAAGGTGGTCAGTTGAAACATTCACACTTACCTCCAACAGACAAGAGTCCTTTGTCCCACCCTGGTCATTCCACAGATATATGAACCCAATTTTCCTAGTTCCAACAGACCTCACTACTTCTGAGTATGCTTGCCATAGATGTGTCAGAATTATTGAAGGTATGCATGTATGTTTTTTCAATGTGATTAATATGTCATTCAAGATGGGTTAAAATATGTATTCAAGATGGATTCAGTTATGTTCAATTGTATGCTGGAATTGTTGTAAGAGACAGAGAGGCAGAGAAGAAAAGACATTGACAGAAGTAAGATAACAAATTCTCTCTGTCTGGGAAGAATTAGGGAGTTGCCGGCTTACAGCCAAAGTGAAACTGATAAGGAGATGTTCTGAATACTGTTTTGTGCTGTGCTTTGTAGTTCATGATGTAGCTCGCTGAGAAGTAGACGTGTATTGAGATGTACTAAGTAAACTTGAAGTTCTTTCTGAAACTGGAAGACTGCAGTGTCCTGTTTTGTGTCTGTGTGATCTAGTAACCTCAATTCCGCTGCGCGTAGACCCCAGGGTCTCACTCTGACAAGATGCAGGCGAAGCGTCAGGAGAGTGCCTCTAGAACATGGCCATATAGCCCGAAAAAGCCACAACAACCCAAATAATATAAGGTAAATAGTTATTAGGATCCTTCAGGTCTCTGGAGAGGCAGAGAAGCGAAAGGGAAACAACCCAAAAGGAATTAGAGGACTGAAAGAGCGAGTCCTGACCTGGAGAGGCCTCCTGGCCCCGTTCCTCCTGCAGGACCTCCGTGGACAGGGCCCCCCGATCCATCCTTCCTCAGCGCGTAGCCCCTTCTCCGAAAGGCACAGCACCCTGGAAAGGAGGAAACAAGAGGTAATGCCCAAGAGTCATGCCCAGTATCTGGCTCTCGTTCCTGCGGTCCGAGGGAGTGGATGGAAATTAACAGCCACCAATATTTTTTTTTATTTACTGTATTTATATTCCGCCTTTCTCAGCCCGGAGGCGACAGGAGCAGGATTCAAAATAAATTACCATTAAAAACAATTAACATATATCTATCTATCTATCTATCTATCTATTATATATAATAAATAAAATAAACAAATAAAATAAATTATATATATATACAGGGTTAGTCAAAATGAATAGGCCAATAAGAAAATTAATTTTAGACGAATGTATGTTTACTGTAACCAAACCACAGCTACGTAGCGACAGATAAACTATCAAAGTTTTGTCTCACCTTCAGAGATGTTCGATATGGGCGCCCCGTGTGACACGGCAGATGTCCAAGCGATAGTCCAGTTCATTCCACATCCGTTGCAGCACATCCGACGTAATGGCATCGAATGCAGCTGTGTCTTCGGAGACACGTGGTCGTCCTGTGGTTTTACCCTTGCATAAGCAGCCCGTCTCCTCAAATTGCTTTACCCACCTCGCAATGGAATGTCGATGAGGTGGTTCCTTGCCATACTTGGCTCGAAATTCTCGCTGGACCGTAATTACTGACATTGTTTTAGCAAATGTCATCACACAAAACGCCTTCTCTTTGCTTGAATCCGCCATTTTGAAAACAGCGACCCCTAGCGACGCCTAGCGGCATTAACGTACATGTGTGTTGCTCAAAAAAAACTTTGATAGTTTATCTGTCGCTACGTAGCTGTGGTTTGGTTACAGTAAACATACATTCGTCTAAAATTAATTTTCTTATTGGCCTATTCATTTTGACTAACCCTGTGTGTGTGTGTGTGTGTGTGTGTATATATATATATATATTATTTATTTATATTTTATTTATTTATTTATATATATAAATGCTCTGTGCATAATGAGTACCTTAAAAACAAAAGAACCAATGAACAAAATCACACCAAATTTGGTAACAAAACATCTCACAACACAAGGAGTGACCATCACTCAAAAAATTATGATTTGGTCATTTGGGAGTTGTAGTTGCTGGGATTTATAGTTCACCTACAATCAAAGAGCATTCTGGTCTCCACCAATGATGGAATTGAACCAAACTTGGAACACAGGACTCCCATGACCAACAGAAAACACTAGAAGAGTTTGGTGGGCATTGACCTTGAGTTTTGGAGTTGTAGTTCACCTACACCCAGAGAGCACCGTGGACTCAAACAATGATGGATCTGGATCAAACTTGGCACGAATACTCCATATGCCCAAATATAAACACAGATGGAGTTTAAGGGAAATATATCTTGACATTTGGGAATTGTAGTTCCTGGGATTTATAGTTCACCTACAATCAAAGAGCATTCTGAACCCCCAACAATGGAATTGAACCAAACTTGGCACACAGAACTCCCATGACCAACAGAAAACACTGGAAAGGTTTGGTGGGCATTGACCTTGAGTTTGGGAGTTGTAGTTCACCTACATCCAGAGAGCACTGTGGACTCAAACAATGATGGATCTGGGCCAAACTTGGCACGAATATTCCATATGCCGAAATATAAACACAGATGGGGTTTGGGAAGAGAAAAAAGGATGGAAGCAAAAGGCGAAGGAAGGAAGGAAAGAGATAGAAAAGGAAGAAAGGAGAAAAAGGGAGGGAAGGAAAGAAGGAAAAGAGAAAGAAGGATGGAAGCAAAAAGCGAAGGAAAGAGGTAGAAAAGGAAGAAAGGAGAGAAAGGGAGGGAAGGAAAGAAGGAAAAGAGAAAGAAAGATGGAAGCAAAAAGCGAAGGAAGGAAGGAAAGAGGTAGAGAAAGAAGAAAAAGAGAAAGGGAGGGAAGGAAAGAAGGAAAAGAGAAAGAAGGATGGAAGCAAAAAGTGAAGGAAAGAAAGAGATAGAGAAAGAAGAAAAAGAGAAAGGGAGGGAAGGAAAGAAGGAAAAGAGAAAGGATGGAAGCAAAAAGCGAAGTAAAGAAGGAAAGAGATAGAGAAGGAAGAAAGGAGAGAAAGGGAGGGAAGGAAAGAAGGAAAAGAGAAGGAAGGAAGCAAAAAGTGAAGGAAGGAAAGAGATAGAGAAGGAAGAAAGGAGAGAGGGAGGGAAGGAAAGAAGGAAAAGAGAAGGAAGGATGGAAGGAAAAAGCGAAGGAAGGAAGGAAAGAGGTAGAGAAGGAAGAAAGGAGAGAAAGGGGGAATGAAGGAAAGAAGGAAAAGAGAAAAAAGAATGGAAGCAAAAAGTGAAGGAAGGAAAGAGATGGAGAAAGAAGAAAGGAGAGGGGGGAAGGAAAGAAGGAAAAGAGAAAGAAGGATGGAAGGAAAAAGCGAAGGAAGGAAGGAAAGAGGTAGAGAAGGAAGAAAGGAGAGAAAGGGGAAAGAAGGAAAGAAGGAAAGAGGAAAGAAGGTAGAGAAGGAAGGAAGGAAAGGAAGGGAAGGAAGGGAAGAGAAGGAGAGAAGAAGAGAAGGAAAGGAGAGAAAGGGGAAGGAAGGAAGGAAGAGAGAGGAAGGAAGGAAAGGAGGAAAGGAAAGGAGGAAGAAAGAGGTAGAGAAGGAAGAAAGGAGAGAAAGGGGAAGGAAGGAAAAGAAGGAAGGAAGGAAAAAAGGAAGGAAGGAAGGAAGGAAAGAGGTAGAAAGGAAGAAAGAAGGAAGGAAGAAGGAAAAGAAGAAGGGAAGGAAGAAAAAAGGAGAGAAGGGAAGGAAGGAAAGAGGTAGAAAAGGAAGGAAGGAGAAGGAGAAGAAGGAAGAAAAAGGGGGAAGAAAGGAAAAGGAGAGAAAGAAGGAAGGAAGAAAAGGAAGGAAGGAAGGAAGGAAAGGGAGCGAAGGAAGGAGAAAAAGAAGGAGAGAAGGTTGGCCACAGCAAAGCGTGGCGGGTACAGCTAGTTGTTACATAAGATCCTATTGAACACACTATTTCTTGTATCTCAGTGAGAGATATCTGTGTTCTAAGTAAGTATATATGAGTGCAGGCTGGGCTGCATTGCAAAGGAATGCATTGGGGTTGCATTGCAAAGGAAAGGAGGAAGGAAGGAAGGAAGGAAGTGATCCCCAGGAGCAACTCACCTCCACTCAACACAACGTGACTCTCCTCCTGGGAAGGAAAGGAAAGAAGGAAGGAAAGAAAACAAGCTGGCCCTTCTGCTCCAAAGAGGCCCGGGAGAGAGAGAGAGAGAGAGAGAGCAGCCCACACTTCCGGCTCCTGCTCGACACTCCCTCCCTGCAGCTGATCCTGGGTGGGAGGCCACTCAATCAATGGATGAATGAGTGGGAAATGCTTGCCTTGCAATGGAGAGACTGCAGCTTCCTTTGCAGCTGAAAGCCTCCTTTCCAGGGTGGCTGGCAGCAAGTGTAATTACATGCACAGGCACACAGGAGATTTGAAACTTATAGCAAGATATCAGCACTGCCATAGAAGCAAACATGGAAACTATTAAAAATAGATACCTGAAACCATTAGAAGCCTTGGTTTGAGCATTTTCCAGCTTCAAATGGTCCAGCCGGGCTACTAACTGGAGCATCGCTCAGGGAGCATACAACTCCGCTGTTGCACCAGCTCCACTGGCTCCCAGTTTGCTCCCGGGCACAATTCAAAGTGCTGGCTTTAGCCTAGGTAAAGGTAAAGGTAAAGGTAGTCCCCTGACATTAAGTCCAGTCATGTCTGACTCTGGGGTGTGGTGCTCATCTCCATTTCTAAGCCGAAGAGCCAGCGTTGTCCGTAGACACCTCCAAGGTCATGTGGCCGGCATGACTGCATGGAGCGCCGTTACCTTCCCGCCGGAGCGATACCTATTGATCTACTCACATTTGCATGTTTTCGAACTGCTAGGTTGGCAGAAGCTAGGGCTGACAGCGGAAGCTCACGCCGCTCCCCGGAATCGAACCTGCGACCTTTCAATCAACAAGCTCAGCAGCTCAGTGCTTTAACCCACTGCGCCACTGGGGGCTTTAGCCTATAAAGCCTTAAATCAGTGGTTCTCAACCTGTGGGTCCTCGGATGTTTTGGCTTTCAACTCCCAGAAACCCTAACAGCTGGTAAACTGTTTGGGATTTCTGGGAGTTGTAGGCCAAAACACCTGGCCACCCACAGGTTGAGAACCACTGCCCTAAATGGTTCCAGCCCAATTCACCTATCTGAACGTATCTCTCCTTACGAACCTTTCAGGAATTTAAGATCATCTCGGTGGGAGGCACTGCTCTCGATCCCGCCTGCCTCACAGGTACGTCTCGAAGTCGAACATGAACCCCCCCCCCCCCCCCCATAAAAGATAGTAACTTATAGTTTTGCTAAGGACAAGGACACCAGACTGGATAATAAGGGTTAAGCTTTGGTCAATCTTTCCTGGAATCACTGGGTTGTTGTGGGTTTTTTCGGGCTATATGGCCATGTTCTAGAGGCATTCTCTCCTGACGTTTCGCCTGCATCTATGGCAAGCATCCTCAGAGGTAGTGAGGTCTGTTGGAACTAGGAAAATGGGTTTATATATCTGTGGAATGGCCAGGGTGGGACAAAGGGCTCTTGTCTGCTGGAGCTAGGTGGGAATCAAGGAACATGAAAGGCCCTGCAGACTCCTTCAACCAGAGAAGTCAGCCATAGCAGAGCACCTGATGAACCAGCCTGGACACAGCATATTATCTGAGAACACAGAAATGCTGGACCATTCTCACAACCACCATGTCAGGCTACACAGAGAAGCCATTGAAATCCACAAGCAGCAGGTGGACAATTTCAACAGAAAGGAGGAAACCATGAAAATGAACAAAATCTGGCTACCAGTATTAAAAAAACTCTAAAATTACAACAGCAAAACAACAGAGAGGAAACAATCTGGGACATCTAATCACCTCTCAACAAAAGATTGCCCCAGGCACTGCCAGGCCATCAAATGCTAATCAAGGTGGTCAGTTGAAACATTCACACCTAGCTCCAGCAGACAAGAGTCCTTTGTCCGACCTGGTCATTCCACAGATATATAAACCCTTTTCCCTAGTTCCAACAGACCTCACTACATCTGAGGATGCTTGCCATAGATGCAAGCGAAACCTCAGGAGAGAATGCCTCTAGACCCGTGATGGTGAACCTATGACACGTGTGTCAGCACTGACACACTTCGCCATTTTTGATGACACGCGGCCACATGTGGCCGCATACAGAGAAGTATGGGGCCACATGCCAAAGACATTTCATCCTTGACTCCTACACGGCCAGGTGCAGGAGCCAAGGATGAAACATTTGCTATAGGTCAAACAACAGAACTCCGGCACAGAGCATCTAGTTCCGGGACTTCCAGTTAGGCTGTTAGGGCAGGGGTCGGGAACCTTTTTGACTCAGAGAGCCATGAAAGCAAAATATTTGGAAATTTATTTCAGTGAGAGCCATATAATATATTTTAAGACTGAATTCAACTTTTTCCCTTTCAGACTACATTTCCCGGCATCCCTTAGCCTGGAGGGCTATCGCGGGGCATGCCGGGAGCTGTAGTCAGGGCGAGAAGGGAGGCGGAAACGGCCTCGGTGCGGTGCAGTTCCCCCGGCGGCCCGAGAGGGGGCGTGGCGCGCTCCGCCCCTTTCCCTCCCTCGGCCAGAGCTTCGCTTCTCGGGCGCCGTAGCTGAAGAAAGGCCCCTCTCGCTCTCCCCTCTTCCCCGCTTTCCCTGCTCCGGGCCCGGCGAGGCCGCTACGCGAGGCCGGGGATCGGCGGAGGCGACTAGGCCGCAACGGGTCAAGGTGGGCTTTCGGTGGGGAAAAGATTCCCCGTTGCTTCCCTTCTCCCTTCCTTCCCTCCTCCCTTCCTTCGGGGCCTAATCAGCCAAAGGCGGGCTCAGTTCCTTTCCAAGGGAATACACGGGCGAGCCAGATGCACTCATCAAAAGAGCCACACCTGGCTCGCGAGCCATAGGTTCCCGACCCCTGTGTTCGGGGATCTTTGACCTCACTCCTGGCCAGCAAAGCAGGGAGCAGCGTAATGCTGTGGGGGATGCATCTCTGGGGGCCCTGTGATCGCCATTAACAGCAACCACATAACCACAGCAACCATTGGGACCTGCTATCTCCGCGATCACATCTTACCCGATGAATCTGTGCATACCTCTCCCCCTCAACGCGCCATCTCAAACACGGTTGATGGGGACGAGGGAGAGGGCCTTCTCGATAGTGGTCCCCTGGCTCTGGAACTCCCTCCCTAGGGAGATCAGACAGACTCCTACTTTGTCCTCTTTCCGGAGACAACTAAAAACCAGGATGTTCCGCTGTGCTTTTGATTAAGCAGTCCACTACAAATGCGCCACCTATGTATAGAACTGTTAGTTGTAAGATTTAAACTGTTGTATCATGCTTAATCCTGCCCCTTTTGCCATGTTTCTGTATATTTGTATGGATTGGTTACTTGTAGCTGTCAATCAGCACTGTTTGGCTCCACCTCTTCCTGCAAGAGGGGAGAACTTTTCCAGAAGCAAGGCTTCTACAGTAATTGCAACATCCAGCCAGAAGCAAGCAAGCCTTTGCAAAGTCTCCAGCCTTCTGCACTTCCCGCCTTTTTTGCAGAGCCAGCCTTCAGCCCTCCAGGGTTGAGGGGTGGGAGGAGCCAGCCTTCACTTGAAGTCTGCCCAGCAACAGTTCCTGAGAGCCTTCAATAGGCTATACAAAGCAAGGTTTACCTTTTAAAGAAAGCAACTATTGTAATTGTCTTTTTTCAAGAATTGCATTGCCTTTTTGTGTGCCTTTTCCATTGTATGCTTAAATTCTATTGCATTTGTACTGTTTAAAGTGTGGGTTAAGTTTCCTTTGAAATTTGCATTATGGCAAGTCAAAACTTTGAGGTCCCACAAGTTAGAGTCAAATCCCCCCACCCTGTCAGAGAAAGGCATCCCACAGAGAAGGCCATGCTCGGTTTTCTGCAGCAGGAAAGCAAACTTACACAAAGGTTTAAAAGGGCTTGGCGAAACTTACCCACCTTATATGAGTCAATTAAGGCTTCTCTTTGCCCAAAGGAAAAAGAAGTTCTTAAACAAGAATTTTTGAAGGCCTTCAATGATGGAGGTGCTATTGCAGAGGAAATAATTTATGTACTGAACAAAATTAATACCCCAGAGTCTTTAGATAGGGCTAAAGAAATTTCTTTTACCCTACAGGAAGAGAGGAGGCGCTACAGCACGGTTCTATTTGAACCAGAGCCTAGTTCCTTATCCAAAGGTGCAGAGGAAAGGGTTCAAGGCTCCCCATGTGCAAGCCTTAGATCCAGTCTGCTTAAGCCTCCATCTAAGGCCGCTAGCCTCAGATCCAAACATTCATCTAGGCATAGCAGTTCCTCCCATTCCACACATTCATTTCTTAGTACATCTTCCAAAGCAGCCTATTACAACAGAGAGGCTGTCCGTTTGGAAATAAGGAAAGAGGTTTTGGAAGCAGAGGCGTCTGCGGAGATGGCTAAGCAAGGCCTGGCCTTTGACGAGGAGGAGCTCCTCCTTCAACAGGTCAAAGCCCAGCAGGAACTGCTTCTAGCACAGGCTAGGGCCCAACAGGAAGCTGACCTAGCACAACAGGAAGCTGACTTAGCACAGGCTAAGGCCCAACAGGAAGCTGACTTAGCACAGGCTAAGGCCCAACAGGAAGCTGACCTAGCACAACAGGAAGCTGACTTAGCTCAGGCTAAGGCCCAGAGAGAAATAGAGTTTGCAGTGGCAAAGGCCAAGCAAGATACGCTACAACGAGACCTAGATCTGCTCCAAGCAAAAAGAGACACAGCACAAAAGATAGCCAGGGCCAACGTTTTAGCCAAAGCTCTATCACAGGAGCTAACTCAAGAAAACCTTAGCCTCCTGCCATCACAAGAGCCCATGCAAAGGTCTCAGCACACCTGCATCTGGAACCACCAGTGCAGGGTCATGTTTCTTTTGACCATCCTGAAGATAGTTCACCTGTTCCAGTGTTCGCGACTTCAAAGCCAGCCTATTCTCCCAAAGTGCAGCAAAGTACGGCCGGGAGAGTGCCATCGTCTCTGTCAGAGTCCATCCCTGTAATTAAGCCTCAAAGATACCACCTGTCCACGTGGGAACCAAAGGATGACATCTTTCAACAGGATCCAGCGTCCATCGGACTCAATCCAGTAATCCCCTCAGATTGGCAAGGCATGGCCGGGAGTGAACCACCACATCC